TGAAGAAAAAATTCAGGAGCGTTTTGACTGGGTTCATAAGTGGGAGTGTACGGACATGGACTTTAGAACTAATTGCGTCTTTCTCGATGAGTCTGTGTTTCATATTAATTTAAAATGTAGTATGGCCTGGTCAAAAAAAGGATTACCTGCTGTAGTCATAGTGCCCAAAACCCGAGCACAAACAACAACGATTTTAGGTACGATCTCTGCTTCAGGACTAATAAAGTGTAGCCTGAGATTACCGCAGCCGCCAGCCAGGAACAGAAAGAGAGAATGTTATGTTGAGCTAACGAGTACAGGGATAGTAACTGGTCATTATTTTAGCTTTCTGAAGGCCACGATGGATGAAATGGATCGGTACCCACATATGAAAGAGCACTACCTTATTATGGATAATGCTCCTATCTACAAATCTGAAGATATTGCTAAATATATTATATCCCACGGTTACCGTTATGCTTATTTACCGTCATACTCTCCTGAACTTAATCCAATTGAGCAATTCTGGTCAGTTGTTAAGAACAAAGTAAAGCACAATAGGCTATTGGAAAAAGAGACGCTGATGACGAGAACTAGTGAGGCGTCCAATAACTTAAAAGTAAGTGGCTTGAAAGGCTTTGTTCGACATTCATATAAATGTTTGGCTAAATGCCGCAACAGAGAACATCTTTAAATCTGTCTTAAAGCATACGCATTTATATCTTAGTTACATGACTCATCTTAGCCTTATCCATAGAACCTGTTTACTGTATTTTCAATTCATTTATACTTCTTTTATACAATAATATTAGCCATTTAACATAATACATGCTGTATATATAAACGCCCCTATATTCAATAGTATTACGCATACCTGAAGAATTAGTTGATAGTTTGACTTAAGAATGGGTTAGATATAAACGATAACTTTCAATGATATCTTTTTACTTTTGTGTAAAATAAGAAGTGAAGAATTATACACTACAACAATATATGCCGTGTCATATTTGACCAAGTCTATTACTAATCTTTACGTGTGAGATTACATTTGACTTAATTACATGTACCTTGATTAGTACTCCGACCTCTTTTAAAACAACATAATTTCTTTTTGCTATGAGCTCCTCCTCTCACTTCTAATAAAAGGGTAAAACAGAGACTCAGCACTTCTTTGCTTTTATTCTACACATTACTGAGTACTAACAACAACAACAACCAATACCTCAGGTATATTGTTGGAGTAGAATAGTATTTTGGAAATATTTATTCACTAATACCACTTTGAATATCTTATTCTTATTCCTTCTTAACAGAGACCATTACCATTTACCGATATTGCCAACAACGCTACTGTCACTCCTATCACGCCTACCACACCATTGGTAATATTATTCTTTATCCTATTTTTTTTTTTTTTTTTTTTTTTTTTTTTTTGCTATTCAAAATGCACCGGTTACTAATCATTTGAATGGTGTAATAGGCTTCTATATCTGTTAATAAAGGGTCTAATAGATACGTATTTGATTCACCTTGTACATCAACTGAGCGGCCGCACATGCCTAAGATTCGCAAAAGTGAACTTAAAACACAATCAATTATTCGTCTTTGGCACTCAGTATTGTGTCAGTGACCCTTTGTGTAAAAACTGAATACAACAACAATAAAGAGCAACAAATCAATAGTTCGTCGCTTTGTTCTCTTGGGTTACTTGACGATTTGGTTTTTTTACTCCGTAAGGTTCCGTACGATGACTTTATCAAGTCTGGAATTGGAAAGGAAATCCTAAAATTGACAATCAGGGTAAAAATTCTTAATTGTCTGCAAACACATCTTATCGACATTTCATCTTGTACATCGAACTCCACCAATGCACGTGATGAATCATAAGAGATCTCTCTTTTATGAATCCATATTACTTGGTCTTTTAGCTTTGTCAAAAATAATCGTTTATTGAATTTAAGTGGTAAGTGTAGCAGCAAGTTGCTCATTGAAACATGGGAATGATAATGAGAAGAGAAAAATACAAAAAAGGGCTTGTTCTGACATTATTATTATTATTACTATTATGAAAGGTGCGAGGCAAAGTACAAGGCTACCAAAACATTATATTTGAAGGATGGCAATTATAATGGTCATTCTATCTACCTGCAAAATACATCGATGCTTTGGGTATTTTAAAGACGCACAATAATATGGAGATGGTGGTTGTAGAATCATCAAGGTATTAAATTAAAATATGACTACTATTATTGATAACACATGAATATAATAATCTGATAATTAATTTGTTTTTTATGAATATCTATAGTAGTATGGTTGAAGAACACACAACGCGTAGTCTTGAGGTTTCAGTGAAGATCCTTGAGTGCAATATTGCTTCTTTGAGGGAGGAGGCTTGTCATTATGAAAACGCATCCTTAGAAACATTTGAGAAACTCGGTGCTTATGGAGTTCAAATTATTAAAACGCAAGTGGCCTTGAGCAAGACGATAATTCATGATAAACACCGTTGGAAAAACATTGAAATGCGGTCAGCACAAATACCAAGAACATGGGATGATCGATTATTATTGGAATATTTGGAATTATTGGGAACACTTTATGTAAGGCAAACGGGTGATGAATGGGGGTTCTGGATAATGATTGTTGCATCGGGTTATTTCATTATACTAACATGTATTGTATTTATACATTTATAGATTGAATTTTTACATGCACAGGAAGTTGAGAGCAAGTTACTTGAAGAACGCGTGAATGTGGATCGACCTTCCGGTCCATCGGTTCAATCAATTATGGAGCAATCGTATTCAACGATGACAAGTTCTTTCTTCACCCCCAACTTACCCACCATCATCATAACCTTATAATCACAAACAAATAAACAGTTGACAACGGGAATTTGTTGTTCGTCTTACAACGCATTTATGGTTATATACATATATATCTTTTTTTCCAATTTATAAATGTACATTGAACTATCATATTAGAAAAGAAAAAATGAGATTAATGGTCGTATCTGATTTTTTCATTTTTCGAACAGATGGAAACAACCATTACGCAAGAGAGAAAACACTCATTTTTCCCCAGCTCTTTTTCTTTTTCTGCACGGTAATGGTGCCACGATTAGTGAGGCGCCAAACCGATCTGGCCAATCGATTCGTTGCAACAACTGGCTTAATAATCCTTTCTTTTTTTTTGTTTTTAATAATAAAATAATAATAACTGTTGTCAGTTGTTCCTTTTTTTACGGATGCATTAACTTGGTCTTGCCTTTATTGTCCCCACACGTTTCTTTGTATCTTTCATAGGTGGTGGAAGAGGCTTTTTCAACACAATATGAATGACACATTTTGTAGATATAGCGCCGATGATTGTATGAGAAGTAGCTCTTGTTTGAGGTAGCTTAATAACTGCACGCTCTGATTTTCTAGACCATGCGCAATTCTGCATATTGATATGAAACCCTGATGCATCAATGAAAATACAGTTTTTCGTGAAGTCAGCACCTGAATCCTTCCATTTCATAAACCACTCGTGTCTCTCTTGTAGGTTTTCAGGACTATTGCGTTTCTCAAACTCGAAATATGGTTTTTTGACTGACAGATTACAAGTTTCGTTCATGTGCTTATGGATGGCTATTTTTGTAAGCGAAAAATTTTCAAAGGATTTAGTCAAACTTTCAACTACATCACAAACAGTAACCTGTGTATCGTCATCAACGAGGTCCAAGACATGAGCTTTGTGCTCCTCTGTGAAGTTGTTTGGGCGTCCTGGATTTCTGGTTGGTTTTTTGATCGGCACTTCATCAGTCTCTTCGTAGCTTCTCCACTATCGCTGAGCAGTTCGTTCTTTGACACTTAATTCCCTCCCAATCACAGCGGCACACCTCTGTCCTACTGGTAATTCGATGATCTTTATAATGTTGAAAGCACGCATTGCCATAATAGTACCCATTGTTTATAAAAGATAAAAGAAAGAGTATGGCAATTTGTGTTTATGCATCAAGATACGACTGATTCAAACTCAACCAATGATACTCAATAGTGTAACAAATCTCCTTGTATCCTAGGTTACTCAACTCTGAATCTACAGTTGAACAAGGATGGCCTTGGCGTCAATAATACAGCCTATTAGTTTATGGTTCATCGCTTAGTTAGTCATTGCTATTAGGAAGACATAAGACCGCTAAAATCGCGACAGTTAAAAAACTGCCATCTTTACTTATATTTTATAGTTCCTAAAACAGTCAATGTAGTTTATTGGCCAATTGTTTTGTTTTTTGTACCAAAAGTTTTCTGACAGCCAATCAAAATCCAATTAGCTAAACACTTGGGAAATCTCTCTCCCCTTTTTTCTCTTTAGTACAGAATGTCTCAACCTACTGCAACTTCTCTGGCGCTTCAAGAAGAACGGAAAAGAGAATTATCGCCTACACCAACAACTGAAACCTCTAAAAGGGCGCGTCATAAATTAAAAAGTATTTTATCGGATAGTAGCGATGATCACGCACCGTTGATAAGTTTAGAAGCATACAATAACATTGACGATGATGAAGAGGATGAAGAATATATTGACGACCATGCGTACTCAATCTCTGGTAGACCAGCACGGCGTTCCCTACTTAGTGATCTTTTAAGCAGTCTTCATCAAGATGACTCATTTACTAAGCGACGAAGAAGCTTAAATTCATCTGCACTAGGCATTCTATCCAACAATGCCCATGACGATGACGATGAAGATGAAAAGACAACTTTACCAATTACACGCTCTTCAATAAGGCCACCTGCTGATGAGGTAGATGCCTTCTTTACAAGTAGCAATACGGACTATGGAAGGATGCGTCAACAACATCATTATGCTCAAACAGATACCCCAGCCTTCATCACCCATCGACCGCACTTTATCACTCTGACATTTTTTCAAGAATTTGGCCCACACAGTCGAGCGATACCACTTGATAGCCCGAAAGAAGAGGATCCGTTGCATATTACTTACTTTGATCGAGAGTATTCCAAAGGACACAAACTGGGCAGTGGCGAACATTCTGAAGTGTACTATACGCGCCGGCTATCCACGGGAGATGTGAGTGCTATCAAGAAATCAAAATCCCCTTTTACTGGCTGGGAAGACAGATGGCTACAGCTGATAGAAGTAGAAAACTTGTATAAAGTAAGGTTTAGTGAACGATGTCTGGGCATAAAGTCAGCTTGGGAAGAAAATGGACACTTGTATATTGAAACAGAACTATGTGCTTGCGGAACGTAAGTAGTTTATAAAAGAAAAAATGAACAAGTACCAACCAAACTTTCTAGGCTTCAGGATTATTTTGACTTTAAGGACAGAAAGATACCAGAAGATACCATTTGGGGGATATTTTATGAAATATTGATTGGAATTAATGATATTCATGAAGCAAATGTAGCCCATCTTGACTTGAAACCTTCGAATATATTGATTGATAACAGTGGCTCTATCAAAATAGCTGATTTTGGTATATCCATTCAAACTCCTGCAGTAAGTTTATATAGCTTCAAGATATGTATATGGGACTAAGTATGTGATGGATAGGAAATGAGATGGGTCAAAGGAGAAGGCGACAGAAAATATATGGCACCGGAGTTGCTAAGAGAAGATTTTGATAAGCCAGCGGATATCTATAGCTTAGGCATGCTCTTGTTGGAGCTAGCAACTGGACTTGGACTTCCAGAAAAAGGCGAACCGTGGGAGTTGATTCGATTTGGTGATCTAACGCATCAAGAAGAGGAGCTGTCAAAACTGACACCAGAATTAAGTAACATGATCAGATGTTTACTTAATCGAGATCCAATCATAAGACCAACAGCTAAAGAGCTTTTAGCATCACCCGAGTTCGTCAAGATACGCAAGAGTACAGAGGGTCCACTATTAAGTTATGTCCAAGAACTGGAAAAGTTAGAAGCAGAAGCACCCAAGACGCATGAGCATCAGGATATCTTTTCTACACCTGAATCAAGGATCATGGAGAATCCTTATCCTTCACCCTTGTAAAAATATCATGGTTCATTGATATGTATATACACCGTGTATGCGAGAGTTATTATACCTTTGTGTAGCCAGAAGAATAAAATAAAAACTTTTACACAGCATTTAATGACACTGAATATTCAATTTATTATTTACACATTAAATGGGTGGGAAACGATGGTTTGTCTCTTTTCCATGCTCAAGGATGTCAAACATGATCCTTTTGTAATCTTGACCACCATAAGCTTCTTGAAGGTCTGAGTCACCTGCAGCAACTGGTGAACCTTCAGGATCTTCTTTGCTTGCTTTATAGATTCTTCCGTCTTTTTGACACTTTTATATTAACCATATTGTCTATTATACGTATTTAACTTACCAAGTACGACATCAAGTAAATCAGTGCTCTCTTTATTTTGTCGCCATTCTTCGGCTCTGCCGTCTTGACAGATGAGGTAAAACTTCTTATCTCCAAAGTCGCTAACGATTTTCTTGGGCATGATTTCGTTTATGAAGAAACAATGGTAAGAATTGTTTCGGTTGACTTTTATGCTTTTCGTAAAGGATTACATAATTGTTGAGTAATACCTATTCACCTTTTCCTCCCCTGCATAAACCAATAAACTCATATCCAGCCTAATGATTATATATTAAATGAGCAGCGTAAGGACAGCATAATGATTATAGAGTACAACCTATCAATGTATACTCGTCTTTTTAAACAAATCATTTATGAATTCGGGAATCTGTAGCAGGTCAACATTCGCGCCTCTTTTCAGATATTTAATAAAACCTACCCTCAGAACTATACGCAAGGGCATGTCTTTGTTTCCTCGTCATTCATGCGCTTTAGCGTCGCTACAGAAAACATAAAACTGATCGTCACCGGCATTCGAGACAACTTTTAAAGGCATAATGAAGTGAATTAAAGGATGAAAAATGAACCACCTCGCTTACGAAAAATTGACATAAGTGTTTGCTCATGTCGGCTCATACAATGCTCTCGCATAATGTTTTTCCATTACCTGGAAAAGAGAAGGCTGGGGCATGCACTGTGAAAAGAATGAGCAAACTAAAAGTCAATTTGTTTATATAGGAATAGACATGTCAACAACAACTGCGTCTGTGAACACAATGCTTGATTTGTTAAATAAATACAGAGCATATAAACCGTTGATGTATTCACTCATTCTTCTTACTTGTATCTATTTCTTATTAATAACATGTATACATCAAAGGCAACTCTCTTCTTAAGGATTTCCAACTAGGAATAATAAACATTTTCCGTTTGAATTGTCAACTACAACTCTCTGTAAAAATTAGCTTAGACTTGGAGTAATACTCATTTTCTACACTTTTATAAATGTCTCCTTTAGCCGCAGCAATTATCATCCTTTGAACCCCCTCTCGGCTTTCTTTCTTTTAATCGTTCTAAAGTACGGATTGCAAACAATAAAGTATGTTGTTTTTATTCTTTTTGTAAACAGTAAAAGAATTTAAGATCTGGGCTTTTCCTTCTTTTCCTTGTACAAAGCGAGGAGAGAGACACCAGCGACCTTGACAATCTTGAAACGGACACCAGGAATATCACCAACAGCACGACCCTTACGACCGAAACCAGCAATCAAGACTTCGTCGTTTTCGTCAACATAGTTCAAACAACCGTCATTGGGGACGAAAGCAGTGACCTTCTTACCATTCTTGATGAGTTGAACACGGACACACTTACGAATGGCAGAGTTAGGTTGCTTGGCTTCGACACCAATCTTTTCGAGAACAATACCCTTGGCGTGAGAAGAACCACCGAAAGGAGAAGAACGGTAAGCGGTACCGAGAGCTCTCTTCTTGTATTGCTTATCAGCCCAACGTTGATCACGGCGGTGGATACGAAGCTTACGGGCAGCGTTTAAACCTCTAGGTTGTCCCTTACCTAATGCAAAATGAATTTAATAACAAGTTCTATTATATCAAGCAGTCGATAAAGTAGAATAGGAATCAAGAATAGAGAAATGAAAGATGCTCTGGTACATGTTAATCATGGCCACATGCTGTCTTTTGTTGTGTGTGTCCATCATTTACTTTTGGCTGCTCTTTTTTTTTTGAGTGCATCCATCCAAACATATCTTCTATTTCTTTCTCTCTCTTCTTTTCATCCTTTTCACTTTCTCGACAATAGTAAAGGTTGTGTATGCAACGTACCCATGATGGATTATGTATTGAAAGAAGGATTACATGTATGCAGCCATGGTATCCTTTCTATCATGCGCACCGTCTTCAAGTGGTATTCTCAATTTCCTTAAACGATATGGTCCGGTCCGAGGTAATTACCCGGCCCGGGATAAGTGAATCACAACAAAGCCAGTTACTTCCTTTGTTGCATGAGCCACAATGAGGAACTGAAGTTGCATAAAGAGCAATCTACGCTTTCTTTATGTCTTTTATATTAACTTGAAGGCAATCAAGCATAGAATTCGCTAAAGAAGACCTTTGACATTTCATGATCAAAAAATGAATTTTTATATTTCATCTTTTATAAATAGAAATTATCGCTAGTCGTCAAAGAGATGAGGACAAGAAAATATATTAAATGCATCATGACCTTTTTACACTGCATTGCATCAAATTGAGTCAAGTAATCAATTAAGAAAAGATATAAATTAACAGAGTACGTTCTCTTCCTTTCCTTTCTTCTTTCTCTGTGTGTGTTGTTCATACATAATTCAAGATTGAACCTTTATACATGTTTCAAGCATCTATTTCTCTTTACATCAAATAAAATGGCTTCGTATTGTAAATGGTAATCTGATCAACCATTGATAACAAAAAATTTCGACGAGAAAGCAATAGAACAGTGCGCATGTGTGACAGATAATTTTGCTTTTTATTTCCCAATCAAAATATTGTATACCAAAAGAAAACATTATAAAGGGCTGATCTCATATACATCAAATGACTGATAACGAGGACGATTATGGACCCGTAATTTCCGCTTGGGGTTCACAAACTGCTAATGATCCTACTGCTCTTTGGCATACGCTTGCTGATCCGGATGCAAAGCCTAATCCAAAAGGTATCGGTAGTGGTAACCTCCATAGACGCGGTAAAAATTATATACCTGTATCAGAAGAACAGATCCTTGCGCATCGTTTACAGCAAGGAGCAACAAAAAAAAAGTTGACTCCTAATGAATCTAAATCTCCAAAAAAGAAGAAAGAAAATACCAATCGTTCTCCAAAAAAACCTTTACAGGCATCTCCAAAGCCAAAATCATTAGAAACAACACCGTCATTTACTACTTTACGTCCAATCAAGAATGAAGAATCAAGTCGATGGAAACAACTCGTTGAAACCCCATTCTGGGAAATTCATGAGGTTAAGCAAATATTTTGGCATTCGTCTTTCATTATTATTAACTTACAATTGTAGAACAATGTAAATACTATTTCTTCAAGTTCTTCAGATAGTAAAGAAACCAGTGGAAATAACCCATGGTCACTGGCTACAACAACAGAGGAACTTTCAGAAAGCAACTGGGATAAGGCCGAGACAAACAGCTGGGACACAACTAGAGCAACACATGATCTGAGCGGATGGGACGACAGGACCACCGACCGTTCAACTACCAATATAGATGAACAATCAGTAACAGAGACAATAAGTACGCCAAAAGATGAAATGATGATAACAGATAAAGTAGAACAAGCAGACGGCTGGGCTGCTGCTGCCAAGCAATCTTGGGGGATTGCAGAAACAAATGATTCAAATGATACAACTGATAGCTGGGGAACGCCTGTAAATAATCAATCAACAGGTTGGGGCGTAATAGCCGAGGATAACAAAGCAGATGACTGGACAACCGCGGCATCCATTGTAGGAGCCAGCACCACGGATTGGGCATCACAGCAACGTACAGATAAAATAACCAGCTGGAATATGACATCACAACAATCTGCTCAAGATGACTGGGGCACGGAAAGTAAGAAACAATGGGGAGCAACTAAAGATTATTCTACAAACGAGCTTATGAAACCTGCTTGGCTGGCATCCCCAGCTGAGAAGGATGATCGCAATGCAAATGGCAAGCTGCGATTCTCTAAAGCCAACAAGAAGAAATACTCCGAATTCAAATATTCAGATGTGCCCAAGCCAATGAACTATGGAAGAAATAAAGAGATCCCTATACCCGGTGATATTGCTCCAGCCCCTCCACCAGAGAATGCCGTGTTAGTAACGGTCAATGTAGAACTAAGTGCCACAGTGAGCGTTCCGGTGACAATCAAGGAATTGGATAAACCAGAGAAACTGGCGGTAGAATTTGCCAAGAAATACAGTCTTCGATCGGATAGTGTCATTCAGGCTCTGCAAAGTCTGTTTGAAAGTCAAAAGGAAACTGCCCTTAAAAGCAAGCACAAAAGACTGCAAAAGAAAAAGTTGTACCAGGCATATCCAACAAACACATCTAATTGTTATCCGTCGAAATATCCTTCCAATGATAATGTACATACTAAGCATACCCGTTTCTCATCAAGAACTTCATTCGCTTCCACTGCTGAGCAAGTGCCACTCGCAAGAAAACAATACTATTAGCATACATTCATAACTAAAAAATAATAATAAAGTTTTTATTAAACAATCACTACATGTTTGACATATTGTCATACATAAGCTTTCTCATAACAGCCAGAATAAGTCCATTAAACAAAGGTGCAGGCTTCAATGGGCGAGTCAGATATTCAGGATGATATTGACAGCCAATAAAGAACGGATGGTTTTCTAATTCGACAATTTCCATACGTTGACCCGATTCGTCTTTACCGATAAACTTTAAACCTTTCTTTTCAAGGATATCGACATAGTCAGGATTAACTTCATATCGATGACGGTGGCGTTCATCTATAGATGACTTATTACCATACAGACTACGAACAACAGAGCGCTTGTAACTTTTTTCCAAAATAGTGGATCGAAGGCCAAGTCGCATTGTGCCTCCCAGATGAGACTTGGAGATCTCAGGCATGTAAACAATCACTGGTGTCTTTGTATCAGGATCAACTTCAGCAGAGTTTGCATCAACCATACCACAAACATGACGAGCAAATTCGATAACAGAGATTTGCATGCCCAGACAGATACCTAGATAAGGAATATTGTGCTCACGAGCCCATTTTGCAGCCATGATCATACCTTCAATACCTCGACTGCCAAAACCTCCAGGAACGAGGATTCCATCGGAAGAACAGACGTGTTGCCATGATTCGTGGTATTTGATGGGATTGGATTGACGAGTTTCTTGCTCCAAATCAGAAGCTTGGATCCATTTGATTTCAATCTTGCGTTTGTGGGCCAAGGCTGCATGTTCAAGCGCTTTATATACAGAGATATACGAATCATGAAGATTTGTATACTTGCCAATAATGGCAATAGTCACTGTCTCATGCAGATGTGCATAGCTACTAGCCAACATAGCCCAGTCTTTCCAGAGCTGTTCACCTGCTAAGCGGCGGTTATCAGGAACCATGATAGTGTCCAGTTTGAGACGTTGACGAAAAAAATCAATGACACCGTGTTTTTTCAGTAAAAGAGGGACGTGATACACTGATGAGACATCATGAACAGCAAGCACTTGCTCAGGAGCAACGTGGCAGAACATGGAGATTTTAGCAGCAACGCTATCGTCCAAGGGTTTAGACGAGCGACAGGCAATCAAATCTGGAGAGAGACCAGCCCCACGAAGGTCACGAACGCTCATCTGCGTAGGCTTCGTCTTTTGTTCACCCACAGAACCAACCACAGGCACGAGAGAAACATGGATCAGACAAAAGTTATCATGACCCACACGGAACTGAAACTGACGCATAGCTTCGATGAATGGAGCAGACTCGATATCACCTACAGTACCACCAAGTTCGATGATACAGACGTCAGGCTTTGCTCCTGATTCATCTATAGGCAACTCTACCACACGTTCAATCCAGTTTTGAATAGCATCAGTAATATGTGGGACCACCTGAACAGTCTTGCCAAGATAATCGCCACGACGCTCTCGTTCTATTACCTCTTGATATATCTTTCCTGTCGTTATGTTGTTGATTCGGCTCAACTCGACATCAAGGAAACGTTCGTAATTACCCAAATCGAGATCAACTTCGCCACCGTCATTCAGAACAAACACTTCACCATGATCAAGTGGAGTCATGAGACCAGCGTCAATGTTCAAGTAGGGATCAATTTTAATGGCTGTCACATTCAGTCCCAAACTCTTTAAAAGAGTACCAGTGCTAGAAGCAATGACACCTTTGCCAATACCCGAGATAACGCCACCAGTAACAACAACGTATTTTGTCATAAAGAAGTTTTATTTGTATATAAAAAGATGTTCTTGTGAAAAAAAAAAAGGAGAAAGAGATGAGTCGAACAGTATACGATGTATTGTCTCAAGTATATGCCCAATTCAACAATAGTCAAACGGGAAAGATTCATAGGGTGCAAGAGGAACTCGTCTTTTTATATTCTGCGGAGTATGAATCGTGTGAAGACCTTCTGATGTTGGTGACTAAAGTGATCAAAGGTGATCAAATTCGATTGATGTGACCGTCAAAATCGAGTACAACGTTCGACTAAATCAGGATCCTTGGTTCTCTCAATAAAGTTGAAAATAGATGAAGAGTTCGACAAACAGTGGAGAACAATGAGTTTGACTGCGGCCAAGAGGAAGGTAACACCGATAAGCATTAGTGCTCATGGACAAGGCTGTTGCTTTATCATCATTAAGGTAACATAATTCTTTGTAGCATTCAAAAATTGGCAAGCAATACAAAAGGCGCCGTTTTTGATGACATAGGACCTTATAATCTTTTATAGTAGAGCATATACATTCTATCTGTCTCGTGTACCAGAAGGACAACATTGCATATAAAGGTCATGGATTCCTTTCCTATAAAGCTCACAAGCAAGCTGTTGACTTCACTGATTCTTAAAAATACAAACACTGAGAGGATAAATACGATTGACAGATTTGATATGAATCATTATAATACTTTATAATCTTATAATTAAGCATACTTTACACTTTATCGTATCTGATGATAAATAACCACACTGACCACATTAACCCGTTCTGACAACATTAATTCTTTTTATAAAGCTCACAATTACTTAGTATTATTCCTTTCTTTTCCCTATAAGCAATCTACTTTGCTGGTCATCAACTTATTCGACTGTTTACAAATGTAAAAAGGTAAACACAACAGGTACACAATCATGGGGCACGCAAAGAAATCTCTATGAATGATAATAAAATCGCACTTTTTGGAGCAAAGTGCAACAGGTTGAAGGGAAGATCAGTGGTGGATAAAATATTTGTATCGACATATAGTAAAGCAAGTGATCCATTCTATGAAAGGGGCATGGCAGCGAATCGCTGACCAAGCTGGATGCAGCCGGCGATACACAAGGTGAATAGAATCACTAAATACTTGAGTTTATTAAAACTTCTTATACATACTTGAGTATATTCCTAGGAAGCAAATAGTTTGTCTTGTTGCTCTTGATTATGATGGCTTGACAATAAACATAGATCATCAAGGTCAATCCTTACTGTAGTATGAGACAGCAAAAGCACAAGCACTTATCAAAATACAATTTAAATAGAAATAGCCAGCAAATAAAAAAAAAGCCTTATTCTCGGCTTTCGCTTTAATTAAATAACAAACACCTTTTTGAAAAATGAGGTTCATGGCATTAACCCTCTAAAAAAGTTCAAAAGGAGTTGGCGCTTATGTTACTCCAGCAATCATGCAATGCAAGTGGCTGTTGTTTAATCTCATTCAGACGAAATTGTCTTTTATAGTGGGGTTAAATGCCTTTATTAGCATTACTCAGAAGTGAATAGACAGTGTAGGATTTATTCTAAAGGATAAAAGGGAATAGAACGAAGCAAACTTAAAGAACATGAAACACTAAACTTTAAACACAGATCACCTTTCGTTGGCTCATTGCCAAAAATAAGGAGAGAGAAAAGGATAAATAGAGGATAAGAAAAAAATAATGAGCCTTATCTCTTTTCTCCTTTTATTTGTTATTCTTTTTGATCATTTATCTTTAGGCGACATTGTCTGTAGCAAAGAGTAGCAAAACTTGTATAAATTCTATATTCTCTCTTTGTTGCTTACTTCTCTAAGATAATTGAATCAAAAGGAAGTTCTCTAGGTAAGTATCTTATAAATGATTACAAGGATTAAAGAAGAAAAATATGACAGACACTTTATGGTTTCTATGATGACCTTTTGAGGGCTTGCTTTCTTTTGTGTTATCATATCGCCATTCAAGTGCTGGATGATATAAAAACACGCGATGAGCAATCATTTATAAACCCCTTTTTATTGTTGCTAACTATAGTCTAGTAAATCTCTCTTGTTGCTATGGTTATTAAAAATTTTGTGCATGAATAAAATATCATTTTTAAAATAAAAACGCATTTTTTTTTTTTATGAAGCGTATTCAAGCCATTTTTGCACTCATACAAATGCCTGGCATCGTCTATTATCTGAGACTGAGATATGAAATATGAGAAATACATGGTCTATGTAAACATGACAACAGGGTCATAGCATGTGATAGACAGTATCTACTTTTCATGGAGAGATGGATGCGTTTGCGCTTACTTTAAGCACCGGCTGTTGTCAGCGTTTTTCGAAAGGTCAAAACTTCCCTAGCGTTATTTAAAGCAACGGATTTCATGAGATAAAAGTAGAGTATAGGAAGCTGTCAATAAAAACAAAACTTAAAAACATTGTATTTCACGCAGTTATTAAGTTCTTTGAGACTATGAAATAACAGATGTTCCTTATTTACCTGAATTATAAAATTTTCACCTTTATTTTTACCCTTCGTTTCAACATCACTAATCTAAACCTTCATAACACACTCTTCTAGAAAAGGTAAATACGACAACATAGATTGCACTTTCTGTGAGGATACGATCACTTTTGAAACGAATAATAGCTTAGAAAGTAATGGAATATCGTTTAAAACTGTAAGGTCTAATGGGCTATCTAATGAACCAGGTATGTTTTGTGTAATTTTTTGAAAGATAAACCATGTTTCTTGAAAAGAGAGGTTAAGTAGACTGTTTAAAGTGCAAAGATAATGCTGTAAACTTACTTTGATCCTCATATCTGTTTCTCCTATCTTTATCCAAATCTTTTAATGTATCTAATATAGAGATAATCTCTTCATATATTTCATCCTTGTTCACATCGTTCGCTCTTAAGCAAAGCTGGTTCAAGAAATGGACGAGTGTCTGCAGTGCCCCTGGCAGTTTGTATTAGACACCAAGATATTCATAGAATATTACTACTTACATGCGCTTGTTGGCTCTATCTCTAGCAACTCGCGAACAGTATCGATTTCTTCTCTTAGTAATTGAACTTTATCTAGAGTAAACCAATCGGACTGATCTTCTATAGTGGGATCCCTATACATTCTAGCAAATGAAGACGTCCAAGTGTTTTTCTCCAATGTAGATACCAATGTGCTCATACTCTCACAGATAGCTAAATGCTAATAATGAGTATTTCTTACTTATCATATTGAAGATGTATGCATATATACATATATATATATACCTTTGTTTTTCTCAATTGACTGTATTTGTATATCCCACGACTTATCAGGAACATCTCTGCCACTACTACTAGGAAGGATAGTGCTTGAAGAAATCAACACACGATCAACCACCAAGTCATCTTTAGTAAGGACATATATCCAGATCGAAGCACTGTCCTTATGTTTGCTTTTTTCCGGTATAGGATAAAGGCTTCCATCCAAAAGCTCACCTTGTTCCTTTAGCACGCTTGGCTTTTGTGTTAGACGAACGATATCATTAAATGCCAAAATCACAAAGGGTGTATCTTTCAAGTGGTATGCACCTAATAATTCTACAGGCTCTGGAGCATTACCTAATATCCACCAATAATACAACCATGCTGATTGATCATCTGGGTCTGTATATATAGCATTTTTGACAAGATCTAATTCTATTAGAGAGTTTTATGTATTAAAATATCTTTCTTTCTTTTTCTTTTTCTTTTTTTTTAGCTCTTTTACGGCTCTTTACCTCCTTTTGCTATCTCATTCTTTTCTTCGGCTTTTTTTGGAACAACAATCTCTGGTAATAGTTTTGATCTCTGATGCCAGCTTGAATAATTGCTGAAACTTTGATTAATTTTTTTGGTTGTAAAGTCATATTCAGACACGGCTAGTTTGTAAACTTCTTCTTCGCTGTTATTTATCTTTCTTAAATGACTAAGTACATATCGTCTATAATCCCATCCATGAACTATATTTTATATGAATATATTTCCCCTATTTTATAACCTCTTGTTTACTTACAATTACGTGCGTCTAAAGAAAGCATTTTATCTACCAAAGCAAGTTCGTTATTCCAGTCAGGATGTGGCATATTCTGCAAACACCAAAAACGATGGTTCCATAACCAGTAAGACTTGGGGTTTAATTTGATAAGCTGCATGAATAACAAAAGCTCCTTCTGGAATACTTTTTGGTTTTCTTCTTCTTCGTCAGGTTTGAGTATAGAGTTCAACAAGACTTGACGGCGGTAATTCCAAATGGTATAAAAGTCAGGATTCCAGCTTACAATCTTGGTTGTTAAATTGAAAGTTTCCTGGTCGTATATTTTGTCCTTCATCTACATTCAACACGATGAGCATATACGTTCTTTGTATGGTTAAATTATACCCTCTGTTGACATTGCTTGACAAGTTCGTTGTAGTCCGTTATCTTTCCTGCTTCCTTTTCCTTTCGGATTTTCAAGAGCTCCTCGGTCGTTCGCTCGCGTTTTCTTCCATGCTATGCACAACTTATTTTTAGAACCGGTGATTATCTTGCTTGAATTGCTTTTACCACATCTCCCATTGCTAAAAATCAGCAAAAGAATAAAAAGTAAATCAGTAAAGAGCATCCTCAGAATTTAACTTCCGTCTGCTCTTCTCGATCAGGGACTGAGGCAACACAATTTACTAGCTTTATGATCTTTGACTTCCACCCTCTTACATTTAATCGTGTAAACGGAATGTATTCGGTTTTAAAGCAATAAATAACTTGTTATCATAAGTCAAGGGCAATGATCTCATTTATCATCAATTTAAGATAGACTGACACGCTATTCAAGATTGCGCGTTTGTACAATGTTTCCACTTTGAATTCAGATGATGTTCGCTTTTTTTCTGGATAACTTAGATTTTTAGGTTACCTGCACCGTGGTTTACTCTATCAATGCCCACCCTAGGCAAGATCGTTGCCACCATCAGGTAGCATAGAGCGGACTTTTTTTGAGGAAGAGGCTTCAGTATATGTTGAAGAACGCTTGAGGGTTTACCTCTGAAATCTTGAAGGGCGACAAAGTGCTTGTCGATGACCTTCTATGATTGCTTTTAAATTCAAAACAGCTACTAAATCCCATTCCATTGATTTCTGGACTCCAAACATTCTTGATTTGTGCATCTAAGTAAAGGAGTTAATGAGATAGTTGTCTATATTTTAGAAATTAAGAGTTTGTTACTCTAAGAGCTCATGACACAAGGCTATGGAATGGCGTACTGGTCGAAATGGCCGTGGATTAGGGACTTTTGCAAATTTTTCTAATTCTTCATCTTTAAAGGTGGACATCTTGTGTTCATCGATCAAATAAACGGACAAACTACGTTTCTTCAGCATTCTTCGCATATCCTTGCCACGGATTAACTCATGATATTTTTGGTTTGCAACAGACCAACCCCCAATAACGAGAACAGAATCTTTTCCGAGCTTTTCTCGAATTTTTGCTGATAGCCGGCTGTCAGACTGCTGCCTGTTGACGATCGAAGATAGCTTCGTCTTGCGGAAATGAAGTAAATCATAATCGTAATGCTCATTGTCTTCATTCGTGTAATATGTGGGCAGTGTCCCATGAACTCTTGCCCTGGCTTTCAAGTATTCGGCAAATTGAAGAACGTTAACGGTTGAAGTTGGATGCTTTGAAAGATATGCTTCAGATTGCTTTACTTCTTCAGGTTTCGTATTTTGACGCAATTTAGTGAATTTCCTCAACTTGGTTTCTTTGCCCCTTTGGTTAATAATATACCGATAGAGATCGCTCTTGCTATTTGGTTTACTTCTCTCATGCATACAATACAATAAATCACGGCGCCCTGGGTCGATAAACACGCACTTATTGATGGTTTCTTGAAGCTCCCTTGTTGTCAATTTGTTTATGTATTGACATTCATCTTCGCCTTTCATACACATTCTCTTAGTACCACCTTTAGAAGATTCTTTGTTTTGCTTCAATACTGAGACATCAATACCATCGATCTGGATCATACCCTGAAATTTCATCGCTTTTGATTCGCTTTGATCTTTGATGCTTTGCTTGACAAATTGACCATTTTGCTCCAAATAAGCTTTTTGTCAAGTTTCGACCGATGGCTGTCTAATACAATATGATTGCTCAAGATCATGGTATCGATCGTCACATAGCAAAGTATGTGGGTTTTTCTCAAAGTACATAAATGACTTGTTTCCAGCCTGTTCGCATAGTTTTGCCATCTTGTAATAGGCCTTTAAGTGACTAATAGGGTCCGATTTACAATTGCAATAAATACTTCTATCCTTGAATTTATAATTAGAGTCGTAGGTGCTGAAGAGTTGTCGGATACGGGAAACTTTTTCATCTTCTAAAAAATATGTGAGCAAGTTCTGAGTGTTTCCAGGTGCAAGCATGAGCTTTAAGCGTTTACAAGGTTCCGTAATTGCTTTGTAAATGGTGTTGCTTATCTCCTTTTTGGACTTTTTCTCCTTGCGCAGTTCTTGCTTTCTACTGACACTACTGGATTAATTTTTGAAGCAAACTCAATTTTCGTGGCAAGAACTCTCTTTCTATCCGTGACACAGCTAATTGAACAAGGGCTTCCTCGTTAATTGATTTTGATTGATTACTCCTTAGTTGGGTGAACGTCAGGGCGCATGTGAAGCCGCCTGCTCTTAATTGCTCATTTCGGAAACGAGTAGACCTCTGGGACATGGATGATCTCGACTGCTGAAATGGAAGATTCTAGAGTTGACACTGGGTGTGTCGTAGCAAATCGGCGCAAGTGAGAAATTTGAGGAACTTCATCTGAAATTCCGGTGGAGTTAGCTCTAAAAAATTCCTTTCATGCATTCAAACATCCATTGTTACCGATTCACTGATTTTGTATATTGCCCCTGATCGAGAATCCCTAGAGAAGTCCGCTTACACAGTTCAACCTTATGTTTGATTAACTTGATATGGAAAAGAGAACTACTTCAGAATTTTTCGGCCTTGTTTCCCCATTGATAGCCTTGGTAAGTCTTCACTTGTGGAAGAATAAATAGAAACGATACTCGTTAAAACAAAATTATTCATCAGTCTATTGATTCAAGTTTCCTTTGTCAACAGTGACAAGTATTCTCTGTGTGTTCTTCTGTACTCGCAAGTCAAGCTTCATTTTACTATAACTACTTTCGATCCTCTCTTTTTGCCCAGTCAATTGGTTGAGGAGCATGTGAAATCAATTGCCGACTTGTAATACAACAGCATTTTTGTACGCCGCATCGATTTTGGTACATTCGTTCGCTGCGATTTGCTGTGAATTCTTGATTGTTATAGGAGAGTAGCAACTTAATTGGCAATATTCTTTCATGTGCTTCCCAATCAATTCTCTGAATTCCCTTGTTTTGAGCGTCCTTACACGACTATTGTTTTGCTGTTTGATAAGTGAAGTGAAAACCTGGACGTGGAAATCCTTTTGGGAATACTTTTTTAAATTGAATGGCTCGTCCTTAACGAATTCATTGATAAATTTGAATTTAGTTAATGCAAAAGTATGTGTGACAAGTGTATTGGTGGTTGAAACAAGTTTTTTTAGTCTTGGTATGTATTCAGTCTTCCACCTGAGCCCAGATACAGAACCCTTGATGGCTACTACTTTTAAAGGATTCACTTTAGATTAAGATATTAGACATATAAACTTAAAAATAACAAAAAAAGTAAGAGAAAAAATTGATATTGATTAACAACATTTTCAGATTTAGATTTGTAATGGCTTTATATTTTGTTCGTAAGGCCTAAAATACTACACAGATTTGAGGCATGGAGTGACTTTTCTTTCTTTTTCATCCTTGAGACAACTTTGCTTCTGTTCTCAAGGCAGACATATTATTGAAGATGATACTATGAAAGCTCTCTCGTACTATCTAAATTCGTAGCAATATTCCAACAAAATGAACGCTACATACATGTACCTGAAATAGTTTGGTAGTGGCCAAGTATATATATATATATATAAAACTGAACCCTCTCCTTTATCAGTACCTTCTAGAATGCATCTATTTATACTTCACCAATTATCAAGTGATTTAAGTACACAATCAACTTTTGCTTTAAAGTGTCCTTTTAAGAATGCAAATATTTGAATAAAGCGAAAATCTATGAGCCTTACGTCTTGACCACAAACTCAAGACTATTTCTTGAAAGGCAGGAAACAACTACCGTAAAGTTAATCTATTTTCACTTTGTAAAAAACGACATTTAATCTTTTAAATTTTATTATATTGTCTCTTAAAAACAAGACAACTTTCTTTTTGTTATAGGCCTCATATTATCATCTTTTAATTTATGGCAGTGGCGTGCGATACTGATTGAATTCAAGCGTTTTTCAGAAAGCCGCAACTTGACTTTGAACCACCTATTCTCTCCCATGATGCTTTCAGAATGATCAATTACTCATTTGTTTAAACATATCCTTCTATCTGAAAAGAAAGTTGAATTCATCCAAAAAAGGTAACCTAGTTTTTATAATTTATCTTTGGTACTTGGATCATCACGTTCCGAGTGTCAAGCTGAAAACCCAGAAAAGATTGATCCTTGTTTGGTGCTCGGGTATTCTTTTCCTTGCTGGTAAGAAACTTCAGTTGTTCTAGACGCTGTTTCATTCTCTATGAATTGTCCATTGTTTGTTTTCTCTTGTTATGGCTAGGATGCAAATGTCGTCTAAATAGAATACGAAGCAAAGAACATATTTCATAGAAAAAATTTTCGGAGCCACATTCAAATCAAATACGAGAGGTCTTTATTAGTAAACTACTCTCTGATGCAAAAATGCCAAAAAGTCTCTGGGGATTCCTTTGAATAGGTACAGCCAAATACGAGCCCTTTATATAGACCTTGCATATATAGTCGTCTTTCTCAATGATTTCTCTTAGAGCAGGAGCACCCTCCATTTTGAGATGTTGTTATTGATTTCTTTATTCATAGAAGTGAATTAAAAGAAAAAGTTTTTAGCAACCTTTCTTCTTTCAGCTTAACTTGAATAGTAAAGTAACATCAACACATCGCAATGAGTTGAACTTTTTTAGCGAAAACAACTTGTCTGACTGGACTCTTGAAAAATATAAAAAATATCGTCGAAGCAAAAGCCGCGACTCAACCAAGGATAGTGAGCTCTACAACCAATATAAGGAAGCTCTCCATCTCATCGTTGCCACTACAAATGACATTGATGTCAAGTATTACGCAGAGAGCTTAATAGAGCGATCCAAGTAAAAGGTACAGCTAACTATTCTTCTTGGAAATAGAATAGTAAAAGGGGTTAATATTGTCATAAAAAGGAAAAAGGCAAGTCCAAGGCTATTATCAATAACTATGACTATGGAAATACCTATATAATAGAAAGAAGTGGTACGGTCTCAATCGGACCAAGCAAAAAAAGAAAAATTAGTCATAAGGGCCCTGAAAAAAGTGTATGTATAAGACAATTAGAAATATTCACATACGTATCTAATCGATTTTTTATTTTTGGTACCAGAGTGAAGAAGAAGAAATTATTATCGTCGCCGAAGTAGTAGAATTAAATCTATGGGAGCTCTGGGCAAAAGTTCTGATGAAGATGAAGGATGAAGGTATTCACGAATACAGGTGTGATATGTCTGGAATGTATAAAGAAGTGATAAGAGAATTATGAATCGATGAGTCTCTATATAACCCCTTTATTGTGTGTCAAGACGAGAGAGAGCTCATTATCGCAAACAGCATCATTTTATATGAAGATAGAATTATTAAGGAGTCGATTTAATTATAGCCAACAATAACTGGGTGTGTCACGTTATATGTTAATAACGTGTATTGTTGTCAGTATCTTTGTATTATTCATTCTTAGAGTATAGATTTATAGTAACCTCATACGACAAGGTTAAGTATTTATGGTATAAATACGACAACAGGTATGAAAAGCAACTTGGGATATATTGAAAGGAGATTATATTTACCTTAAATTTACAGTCTGGAAAAACTGAATATCATTCAGATTGGAAATAATATAGGCTCTGATACTACCCGAAAATATTATCCTAAAAATTTAGTACAGAAGACAATCAAAAATACACAACCAGCTGCCTTGTTGACAGAAAACCCTGAGCTCTACAGCCATATACTTGATCTAGTAAGCAAAGGCTTTCAACTATACAACATCACACTTGTACTCAGCGGATCTCGTCAAGAGATTTTTCACTAATGTTATACGTTCCTTGTAAGTGCTGAATCATCAAGCAAGTACCAAGGCAGTTATCTAACTCTTTCAATCTATAGAATCCATGGGGTCTTTGTTGATGACAGCGATGTTTGTAGTCTAGAGATTTGCTATAATCATCTGGTTTTGTGGCCAATTCTAGAATCTCTTTTCAAATCGATTGAAGGTGTAAAGTTTACAGCTGGAGACATTCATTTAGAAGCAATATCTCAAGAACTGAAGCTGATGAACAACGATATTAGTCAGTTTTATAATGCAGATGGTGTCTTGCGAAATAAGAACCACAACTTAGAGATAGCAATCCTCGAGACAACAGGTCCCTTCCAGACGCAAGGTTACATAAAATCTTGCCATGGTCTTGTAGCCATGTTACATGTAATTGGTAGAAAGCGCCAATATGGTAGTTTTGATATCTTCAAACAAATCGGCGTTTTCTTTGTGCAGGCCACGCGTAAGTATGCTATTTGTTATAGTGAGATAAATAGACCAACACTGCTTGCATCTTCTCTTTAGCTACCGAGAATTTGGCGTATGTATGTGCCTTTAAAAAAAAAAAAAAGTACGTTTCAGTATGTATAGGTTCGGTTGGCATGCCAACACACGCTCAGGATTCTGAAGAGAGCATCCGACAATTAATCGATCTTTTCTGGTTGCTAAGAGTAAGTCTCAACTGAATTGTTTCTCAATATGCCTCCATGTTTGACTTGTTTATCTCTTATTAGACTTTAGTGCTTGAGACAAACCAAGCCATGGATAGCTTGAGGTTGCCTCATGTTGAAAACATGAAAATTAAGACAAGAGACTTAGAAGGAAGTAGTGAAATTACTGACCTACGTAGCTTTTTCAGCTAAATGCCGACATAAAGTTTCCTCAAGCCTATATCAAATAGCCGAAGCGCATTCAAATGTATAGCTCATCCCTGATTCCTTACGACGATGACTTTTAAATGGATATTTATATTTTAATAAAATTATTTTGCTACACTATATCAATAGGTATTTTTGGTTTATTGCTTTCAGTAACTACAATATTATCAATAGAGCTACGAATCTGCATGCTTTAGTTACACGCTCGTCTTTTTTTTTTTTTGTTTTGTTTTGTTCAAAGACTTTTGTCAATAATCATTCAACGTCGCCATCAGTAGTAGCCATTCATTAAATCAGAATCCTAGCCTGAAACCAGTACTGTTCATAAACAGAGCATTTTAAGAGTAATATAGCACATATCATAAAGTTCGCCACCAGATATAAAAATTGATACCTCATAAAGAACAGGAGCCGTCTTCTGGAATAACAAAAAAGATGTATTATTGACTTGAACATTCTCAGGTTTTGTAACATTATTTGGTTTCATCTGCTTTCTTTAGTCCAAGATTCATTTCATCAGACGTAGGTAGTAGACAATATTAACTCAATAACCACCCCTCGGTAAAAGAAAACCAAGCGGCTAGTGTCAGTTCTGGAAAGAGCCCAAGTTCAAAGATTAAGCAGACGCGAAAGTGCCTATCTTCCAAAATTCCTCAGTAGGCTCCCGCTTCATCAGCGAACATATTATTGCTCACCCTAGTCTTGTTCATTGTATGATATGAAAGAGATGGGAATAAAACAAAAGTGGCTCTTGGCGCACTCTCTCGCGCACTACCAAATCTCAAAACAGTGGCACTACCTTATCATGGAGCAGTACGCGAGGAGTGTATGAGATGCTAATACTTATCTTTTCAATTATTAGTTGACGCATTTTTACAATAAATAGATATCTTTGATATTCTTACGGCTAATTCTAGAAGCTACCACCTGATTCACTTAATATAAAATAGTAAACTCATAGTTTTTGAAAACAGTTTTATGTCACTTTATTTCGCAAAGAAGGGAAGCTTCAAGCCTCTGAATTCACACAACACTTTTAAACTTGTGGTAGCATGATTTCAATTTCGCGCACCTACGAAAAATATCGCGCTTGCGATAATATTTATACTAATTGGGTCGGCATAATATAACAGCAATAGGAAACGCACGCTCCTCGCGTACTACTCCATGAGATTTGGTAGTGCGCGAGGGAGTGCGCCAAGAATCTCCCTTTAAAAATCTGAAAACTAGCACCATCTGAATTCAAAGTGGAAACACTGTATTAACATTTAAGGGGCCTATGCCCCTAGCTCAGTGGTCAAAAATCTATGATTTGAAGCCAAAGTCTTGCGTTCGAATTCCACGGAACCGCTCCCAATAGCTTGCTGTTGAGGATTTTAACGCCGCTTTCTATGTTTCTCGGTTGTTGGTCGTTTGAAATAAACAATTTATGAATAATTGTGGTACCCACCCAGGTCGAAATAAGTATGAACCCTAACACCCACCAAGTCTTAGCCTACCAATTATAATGATTAATTTATCTCCATCTACCCACTCCCATTAGATTGTATGCTTTTTCCCTTCACCATCAGTACCTTCCCACCCTCACCATATTATACACCCCACCTTGTTGAACTTGCCCGAACAATTTCAGTATGAAAATACTAGCCGCTTCCAACTCACTACGCTCGTTTTTGCACGTCGTCGTGCTGCCGCAGGCTTAAGGGCTTCGCCCTTTGTGATGAGTAAGGGCAAATGCTGAATGAGATGTAGAAAGGTTAATGCATTTAAAGAGAAAGCAATGGTCGCATAATTTTATTGAATGAGAGTCACATAGTTACAAAAAAAAAAAAAAAGAAAATGGCATAAGTATAGTTGAACATAAGTATAATTGAGCATAAGTGAGTTGGGAATAACGCATATA